GTGCAAAAAGAATCTGCGAACCCCACCTCCTCCAAGGTGAACTGAACCACCTCAACTGGGCTCTCCAGGCCAATGGATACTCCACCTCAGACATCAGAAGAGCTGCAAGACCAAGAACAAGCCACGAGAGTAAAGATGAAGATCCACCCAGAGGAAAAGTGTTCCTGCCATACATCAAGGGAACCACTGACCGCATAGGGAAGCTGATGAGGAAACACAACATACAAACTACAAACCCACCAAGAAAATCCAACAAATGCTACATTCAGCAAAGGACAAGAGGGATCCTCTCACCTCTGCAGGAGTCTACCGTATACCATGCAGCTGTGGACAAGTCTACATAGGGACCACCAAACGCAGCAGGCCAGACACGCATCAAGGAACATGAAAGGCACTGCAGACTACTTCAACCAGAGAAGTCAGCCATAGCAGAGCACCTGATGAACCAAGCCTGGACACAGCATATTATTTGAGAACACAGAAATGCTGGACCACTCTAACAAGCACCATGTCAGACTACACAGAGAAGCCATTGAAATCCACAAGCATGTGGACAATTTCAACAGAAAGGAAGAGACCATGAAAATGAACAAAATCTGGCTACCAGTATTAAAAACTCTAAAATTACAACAGCAAAACAGCAGAGAGGAAACAACCAGGCACATCTTAACACCTCTCAACAAAAGATTTTCCCAGGCTCAGCCAGGCCTTCAAATGCTAATGAAGGTGGTCAGCTGCCCCACCCCAGTCATTCCACAGATATATAAACCCATTTTCCTACTTCCAACAAACCTCACTACCTCTGAGGATGCTTGCCATAGATGCAGGCGAAACGTCAGGAAGAAATGCCTCTAGAACATGGCCATATAGTCCGAAAAAACCCGCAAAAACCTAGTGATTCCAGCCATGAAAGCCTTCGACAATACAATAATAATAATAATAATAATAATAATAAGTCTCTATGGTCATCTGTTAGGAGTGCTTTGATTGTGTTTTTCCCTTATGGCAGAAGGAGGTTGGACTGGATGGAGCTTGGAGGTCTCTTGCAACACAGTAATTCACCTATTACTGTGACTTCCTCCCAGGTTCTGTGTGCCAAGTTTGGTTCAGATCTGTCATTCATGGGGGTCTTAGTGGAAGTCTATGGAAGTCTGAGTTGAATCAGTTGGAAGGTACTCCGAATCCAATTATCGGTTGTCCATACTCCCCCAAAACATATTGTTTTTGTGATTAATCAGTATGCTGTTTTTAAACTGTTTTAAATTGCTTTTAAATTTTGTTAGATTTCAGCTATTCTTGTAAGCCGCCCCGATTCGCAGGGGATTAGCGGCATATAAGTTTAAATAATAAATAAATAAATAAGTGGGCAGGTGGGGTGTGGGGAGTGTGGGTCATGAATGATTTTTCAGTCACTTTGAAGCATAGGTTCTTTTTATTGCAATTTCCAGTGTGAGAGGGTATATCAGATAACAGGAAAAAAACAGACATACAGATTCTGTGCAACTACATTGGATTCACAATTACATGGCTAACAAACAAACAAAGGAGAATTACACTTTCATCCAACATTCCAACCACATGTACACGCACTCATCCCCAGGCATTCAAATATTACCATATCCTTTTCTCCCTCCTTGGAGAAGCACTTGTTAGGCCAGACCTTGCTTTCCTGCAGCCTGCCAACATATAGTTCCAAAACTTCCATAACTTCAACACACCAAAATGCACCCTTTCCCTAAGAACAATGCCAGGGACCAGATCTCTGTTTGCCAAACAGCAGAACCTGACTCCCTGCACAAAATCTAAGGCTCCAAAAGCGCACTTCTTCCTCTTCCCTTGAAAGAGAAGCCCCAAAGTGACCAGAATCATGCTTTCCCATACCATATCTGACACTCTCCAAAGGTACACTATCTCTCTCCTTCCCATGGAGCAGAGCATAGCGGGTGAACAGCGTCTCTGTCTGTCACAATTTGAGCATTATTAGACGGAGTCTTTTATAGGAATATTCTGTTGATGTCGTCCCAAAGTTGTAAATGAATCCAGGATCCATGTCACAAGAAATTCAATGTGCAGATTTGACAAATATGAATTTAATATGATGTGTGGGAATAAATGGAAGATGTATGGATGGAGTCAATAATTTTGGAAACCCCAGGATAATATTAAGGCCTGCTATGACTAACTACCTGCTTGCTGGACTTGCTAATGAGAAACCCTGATAAGAACTGGGACAGTGATCAAGGAAATGTTTGCAACATTCCTTATGTTAAGAAGGAAGTCAACACAAGCGTTGTGTTTGTCAACACCAATCAAGAAGATCAACATCTGGCCAGGAAACTGAGATGGAGCCAGGATGGAAGACTTCTATCATTCATTTACAGCTTTGGGACTACATCAACAGAATATTCCTATAAACGACTCAGTCCAATAATGCTCAAATTGTGACCGACCTGAGGAGTCTGGTTCACCCGCTACGCTCAGCTCCATGGGAAGGAGAGAGATAGTGTACCTATGGATAGTGGCAGATCTGCAGGGGAGCAGTCTGGACACTTTGGGGCTTCTTTCTCAAGGGAAGAGGAAGAAGTGCACTTTTGGAGCCTTAC